AACATGTACTCCATACAGTTAACACATCCGTTTGGGCTCTTGGTTTCTGGCAGTACCAAGTCAGGCAAAACTACATTTGTGAAAAAACTTTTGAGTTATGTTAATGTCATGATAGATAAACCTCCAGAAAACATTGTGTATTTTTATACCGAGTACCAAGACACGTTTGGAGAAATTCAAAATTTAGTGCCTGGAATAAAATTTGTACAAGGCTTGCCAGATGATATACTGGATAGTATAAATCCCGAAACACACAATTTATATGTCATTGATGATTTCATGTGTGAGAAGGACGGAGTTATTTCAAAATTATTCACGAAAAAATCGCATCATGGTAACCTGAGTGTAGTGTACATTGTACAAAATTTATTTCATCATAGTAAAGAACACCGTACAATTTCTCTCAATGCAAGTTATTTATGTTTAACGAAAAACGTGCGAGACGCAAGTCAAATTATCCATCTTGCCAAACAACTGTATCCTAGTAACACCAAATTTTTTCAACAAGCCTATCAACTGGCAACCAAAGATCCCTATTCTTATCTATTTGTCGACCTAACTCCTACGTGTCCTGACGAGATACGGATTCGATCCGGGATATTTCCAACCGATACACATTATGTCTATCAACCCAGAGTATAAGAAAGTGGGAACGTGTGTAAAATATTCATTTGATCATGTCTGCTTGTATGAAAAGGAACTCCGAACTTCTGAAAGTACTGGCCAAGTGTAAACCTGAACTGAGAAAAGCTATTTTGGAAGCGGCTGAAGACGATCTGTTTGAAGCTATAAGACAGTGTCTATTAAACGTTTGGTTTGACACCATTAAACTGAAACCAAGAACAGCTAAAAAACTTGCACCGCATTCTAACCATATAAAGTTTGCGGCTGACAAGCGAAATCCTATCGTAAAAAGAAGAACCCGTCTAGTCCAAAAAGGGGAGGGTTTCCTACCGTTTCTACTCACTTCAGTTTTGGAACAGTTGTCTAACTTTTTATAATGGAGCACGTCAAGCGATTAGTACTTGTCTCTGAACATATGGCTGAACAGCGAAAGAAACCTCTCGCGGCGCCTTTGGCGACACAGGTCAACGAAATAGATTCGGACATGCAAGATATTATTCGACGACAAGATATACCAATTGATGAAAAGGCAAAGTTATACGACCACAATCTACAACGCTATCTAACCTTTTATGATAAACGAATGAATAAACCTCTCCGAGTAAACGTGACGCACACCGATAAACCTGAAGAACCTCAACGAGAACAGCCGAGTGAAGAGACTGAACCTTCAGACGAGATTGAAACAGATATCATGGACAGTGTACCAGCTACTATGAAGTCAAGAGCTCGACAACTCATCAAAAAACTCAAGTCAAATAAAGATCTTGTTGGTTGGAATGAACAAGGCCATATGGTGTTCAAAGGAAGATCGGTTCCTAGCACAAATATAGTTGATTTGGTAAATGATTCTCTACGTCAAAGGAAGAATTTCAACCCCGACGGTTGGGAATTGTTTTCAAAAGTTCTCGGACATTTGAATGTACCCAAAGGTATTGTGAGAAACGAAAACCGTCTTGGAATTGTTCGCGAATATAAAACCAAAGGTATCCCGGACAATCTACCCACCACCCCTCGAGTGCAGCAAGAAAAGGGGAAAAAACGCAGAAACAATATTAATAGTCCATATAAATGGTTAAAATAATTTATTTCTTGTAAGAGAAAATTTTACAACAAATGTATTTAAAACTAAATCTAGTGTTTGTACCACTTGTCTATAAAATCACGCACAAGCTCATCATTCCATTCTTTGCTATCCGTAAACATATTTGCAATGGTCGACATTGGAATACGTCTACATCGATGTAAAGCGAAGAATAATGTATATTGTCCACACACGTCTGATGAAGGGGCTTGCAAAATTCTTCTGTTCCATGTAAATGTAGCGCAATGTTTGTCCAAAAATTGAGTAAAGTTCTGATTGTAAAATCCAGGAGCCTGGCCATACGAATCCCAAAATTCCCCTTTGTCATCTTCTGTAAGGTACATTGCAATCCAGTGTGATCCGGGCATATCCGATGCGTCCGTGTTAAATATATACCCTCTAGGCCTCTTTCTTATTTCGCGAGGTAAACGATCTGACGGTAAAACGTCCGTAAACACCGTTTTTGTAAACGGATCATTCTTGAGAATGTTCATAATCTGCAGCGTGTTCATCTTCAGTTGTTGAAATCACACAGCACGTTTCGGTTCGCATCAATTTCGATAAGACTTTGAAATTCACCAAGTACCACGATATTTATAGCTGTCTCCAACGGTGTTCCAAATCGACATTCAATTGACACATTTCCGTTCTTAATCGGTTGTACATGATCACCAAGGCATAAATCAGGAGTGAGGTCGAACACAAACAGTGTATAACGGCATGTACTAAAAGGCGAAACGTCGAAACGAAACGACCGAAACGAAACGGCCGAAACCATCGAAACGACCGAAACGACCGAAACGAAACGACCGAAACGAAACAACCGAAACGAAACGACCGAAACGAAACAACCGAAACGAAACGACCGAAACGAAACAACCGAAACGAAACGACCGAAACGAAACGGCCGAAAATATAAAACACAGGAAAATTGAAAAATGCGGATACGGACGGACGGCGGACGGACGGACGGAGGGGACAGGCGGATGTACGGGGGAGACAGGCAGATGGACGGGGGAAGAGGCGGATGGACGGGTGGGGGACAGGTGGATGGACGGGGGAAGAGGCGGATGGACGGGGGGTGGACAGGCGGGTGGACGGGGGGGACGGCTTCATTTGATACGAAACTGATATTTAAAATCAAATCCGCGTTTTGTTGAAAGGGATATATTAGGATATATTATAAAAGACTATTATTAATCGTAATAAATTGTCCGCGAAAAGTTGATAAAATACATGTGGAAATGCGGGGTTTCAGTCGAACCTTCGTAACGCTTGATCGGATAAAACGCGGATATGCTGCAACTTTCATGCTTAATTTTCTCAGTCATCTGGGTATGTAGTAATCTAATTTTATGCAATGTAATGTGTTATATTTTCATGGGCTTTTCAATGCAGTTATCGGTTTAAATATACCTAAAATTCCCGTTAAGAGATATGACAATTGCCGTACGGCCTACTTTTACGCAAACGAAAATTAGCTACAATTGCCACTTTCATGCTTAATTTTCTCTGTTATCCGGGCATGTAGTAATGTAATTTTATGCCAATGTAATGTGTTGATGAAATTTGCAGTTGTAATTTGCGTTTGCGTAAAAGTAGTCCGTCGGGCAATTTCATATCTTAACGGGAATTTGAGTTATATTTAAACCGATAACTGTATTGAAAAACCTTGAAAAATAGACCTTACATTGGCATAAAATTACATTACTACATGCCCAGATAACAGAGAAAATTAAGCATGAAATTTGCAGTTGTCAATTTTCGTTTGCGTAAAAGTAGGCCGTACGGCAATTGTCATATCTCTTAGCGGGAATTTGAGTTATATTTAAACCGATAACTGCATTGAAAAGTCCTTGAAAAAACAGCACATTACATTGCATAAAATTAGGATTTGATTTGATTTTAAAATTGAGTTTCGTGTCAAATGAAGCCGTCCCCCCCCGTCCATCCGCCTGTCCCCCCGTCCATCCGCCTGTCCCCCCCCCGTCCATCCGCCTCTTCCCCCGTCCGTCCGTCCGTATCCGCATTTTTCAATTTTCCTGTAATTTATATTTTCTGCCGTTTCGTTTCTGCCGTTTCGTTTCGTTTCGGTCGTTTCGTTTCGGTTGTTTCGTTTCGGTCGTTTCGTTTCGGTTGTTTCGTTTCGGTCGTTTTGGTGGTTTCGGCCGTTTCGTTTCGGTCGTTTCGTTTCGACGTTTCGCCTTTTAGTACATGCCGCTATCGGCTGGTCACGTGTCTCCCAGAGTCTGGGAGATAACAAACAATTTCAATTAGGGTGGGTACCTAAGTACGTTTTGTCATTGAGCAAGGAGTGAGCGAAGAAATAACCCAGAAATCATACAGGAAATATTTACAAAATTGTATATTTTATTTGTCACGGATACTATCAATGTTACACAACAGTAAATATCAAATTTCATTGTGCGCAGAATGTCGGTAAGCAAAGATAGATCAGATTTCAACAGACAAGTTATCCCGATACAGCTCGTCGAATAAATCAATAAATCAACATGTCGCAAAAGTTACAAGAAAATATATTTCTACACCAGTACCGTCCGATGTGGCTGTTATTTAGCTGTTGATGTCTATCCTAAAGGATTTATTTAATACTGAGATGTGTAACGAAATATAGAGATCTTTTGATTTCTGAAATATCGCAAACTATGTTGCTTTGTAAACAATGCTACTCGGACTGCTGAAACTTCAGAACCATCCTCAGAGATACGAAAAACCAGAATCTGTTGAAACTTGATGCTCAAGAAATATGTCGAAGTATACCTCCCTGTTATCAAACCTACGGTAAAATAATCCAACAATAGCCTACTCAAAGATAAGTGAAAGACTCGTCTGTGTGTGTATGTTACAAATACGAATACTGTATATGTTTGACATTTTTATATAGGACATTTAGAGAATGCAGTCCGCGTGATAAATTCGATAAATAGCTTTAATTGTGACATTAGCTTTACTGTAATGAAATTACTTTACTGTAATGAAGTACTTTGTGAAATATAATTATATATACTGAATTCTACTACGTCATTAGCTAGGGTCGTGTCAGAGTTGTACGAGAGAGCATACGCATGCGCGAGATAGTCAGTTGTATACGTCTTGTCGTGAACGAAAGTCGCATTCGAAGTCTTCTCCGAAAATCCTTTTTAAAATCCATTACATCCAGTAGAAAAATCTCACCAGAAGCAAGAAGAAAGCTACATTGAACAAATACAGACAAGTCCCCTACTTATTCATAAGTTCCATTGTTAGAAATTGTATTGTTTTTATGTAAATTATGTCTAGCGAACAAGCCGAGCACGAGGCTACGCACAACGAGTGCGATACGCACACAGCTGCCGCCGATACCGAGCCACAACTTATCTCGGTGCTTACGGCCATGCAAGCTACCATGGATAGACAAAATATGTTCCTTGAACGTATATTTAACGAAAAGCAGGCCGCTGAGAAACGGCCTCGTGCTATTGATCACGTCGATCTAGTACTCTCACTTTATGAAAATTTTGGATAGGCATGCACCTTTAATAAAACGTAGAGTCAGAAATAATAAACTGCCTAGGTGGTTTAATTCTGAAGTACGTTGCTTTAGCCGCAAAAGAGACTTTTTCTTAAAGCAATTTCTAAAAACCAAAAACTCTGACACATGGTGTACCTACAAAAAATGGAGAAATAGAACTGTTCATATTATTAAAAAGTCAAAAGAGGACTACTATAAGAACCTCCTGACTGATAATGTACATAATCCACGACAATTATGGAAAATTCTAAAAGATATCTTGCCGACCAATGACACTGTCTCCCAAATAACACTTAACATTAATGGCAAGGAGATCAGTGATCCTATCGAGGTTGGCGATCTCTTTAATGAATACTTCTCCTCTATTGCAAACAACTTTGATATCAGTTTACTAAACAACCCAATTAATACTCATTTACCAATTGCAACAAATCATATTAAGTTTACAATTCCACTGATAACAATCGATGACATACTAAATCTTGCAGCCGAATTAGACCAGAACAAGTCAACCGGTCTTGATGGTATTCCTGCCTACTTCATCAAGTCCTCGATTCATTCCATTGCACCCATAATACTTCGCATTTGTAATATGAGCATTGAAAATGGCGTCTTTCCCAACATGTGGAAGAAAGCTAGATTGATTCCAATCTATAAAGCTGAATCACGTACTGAGAGAAACAATTACAGGCCCATTTCTATATTACCGATTCTATCTAAACTCCTCGAACGACATGTTGCCAACTCATATGTAAAATTCCTCACAGAAAATGATATTCTATCAAGTTGCCAGCATGGTTTTCGAGCCCATCACTCTTGTGAATCCACTCTAATATTGATCTGTGAACACCTTCTCGATAACATTGAGCAAGGTTTAATTAATGGTATAGCTCTAATTGACCTCTCCAAAGCGTTTGACCTGGTCGATCATAGATTGCTACTGCAGAAATTAGAACAATATGGCATTACTCCAATACCTTTAAAATGGTTTAAATCGTATCTAAATGATCGTTACCAAGTAGTACAAATTGCATCATCCCTATCCAACCCAGCTCTGATAAAGTCTGGTGTGCCTCAAGGATCTATACTAGGACCAATTCTCTTTCTTATCTTTATTAACGATTTACCCAGTTACGTTGGAAGTTCTAAGCCTTTTTTATTTGCCGATGACTCTACACTAATATCCTCCGGATCGGACCTTCACGAACTTAGTGTCTCTCTAAAGTCAGATATGACCTCAGTGTCCCGTTGGACTAACCATAACAAATTGTCTCTTAATCATGGCAAGACAAAAATAATGAAAATATATTCCCAATCCAAATTCCCTGATCTTAGTCCAATAACCATTGAAGTCAATAACAATAATGTTAAGGAGATTACATCCGCCATTTTACTTGGAGTTACATTAGACCAACATCTGAAATGGGATAGGCAAATTAATACCATCTACAATATAATCAATTCTAGACTTTACCTGCTCAAACATATACGTAGCTATCTAACTTTTCAATCCCGTATTCAATTATATTACGCACTAATCTACCCACACTTGCTATATTGTAGCACAGTCTGGGGCAATGCTAATAACGATCTAATTACGTGCCTACTAAAACTACAGAAACGTGCAGCGAGACTAATTCTTGAGCAGTCAACTGAAGTACCTTCAATTGTGCTTTTCCGTAAACTCAACTGGATACCTATTTTTAATTTGATCAAAATGAGAAAAATATTATTGGTATTTAATACTTTAAAAACATCTTGGCCGCCGGATCTTCGTAAATTGTTTGTCTTTGTTCGCGACTCTCATCCAATTCCAACGAGATCGTCTATTACAGACTTAAAAGTTCCATCAGTTAAGACTACGCAAGCAAAATCCAAAATTTCCTTCAGTGGTGCAAGTTTATTTAATTCCCTACCTTCCGAATTAAAGGATATTGAAAATCATTCAATTTATTCCTATAAAAAGAAGCTCAAAACCGGCTACTTTATTCAATTGAATTATGAAGTAGATCACGTTAATAAATTCCGCTGCATCGATTGTAAGCTTATTACTCATTGTCAATGTTACTCTCAATAGGATTTTCTTTTTATATATTACTATTAGATATCGAGGGCCATTGGGAAGAATACTATATTAAGTAATCAGTGTAATCCCTCATTATATTATTATTATTATTATTATTATTATCTAGACGAAGCCGAAAATGGCGAACAATCTGCTCCAAAGCGAGCCAAAACCGCCCCAAAGTCTGGGCTAGATTCTGACGGCAATGACCGTCCATGTATAGCTCAGCAAAGTTCTGACCACGATACAGAAGTGTGCGAAGATCCTCCCGAGGCAGAGCACGATAAACATGTCGATGCATTGTGTTTGTTCGGAGGGCCAGAATTCGCGGACGAGATTGATGACCTTGATAATGACATTCTCCTCTCAAATATTGCACTAAATTTATCATCTACAGAGCAAACTGGCCCTCCAATTTCAGAGCATCTTGCCAAAATAATAAACTCAAAGTTAGCGGACGAACTTGATATTACAAAACTAAAGGAAATTTTAAGCAAATAGCAAAGGCCACAAAATTGTGAGGAAATGTATGTGCCTAAAGTTAATCCGGAAATATGGCAGAAACTCAAGCCATACGCCAAAAAATCGGACATTAAACTGGCAAACTTACAAGATACTATTATAAAAGGATTGTCTAGTTTGGCCACGTCTATGAACACGCTATTAGAATGCCGGGAAACGAAAACTATTCCCGACTACAAAGTCATCATTCCGCAATTGCTGGACACAACGGCCTTATTTGGCCATGTATGGAACGAAATTTCCTACAAGCGCAAAGACGCTATACACCCTATCCTTCACCCTGACTTTAAGCCATTGTGCTCAAGGAGCCACAAAGTTGGCCCTTTATTGTTTGGTGAAGATTTAGCCAAAACGGCTCAGGATGTTCGAAATTCAAGCAAAGCTGTCGCTAGCTAGCTTAACTACTCAGTTTGCTGGGCAATCAAGCCAAAGTTATCAAACCAAAAGGTTTTCACCATATCCACCACAGACCAGCAGGCCTTTTTTATCCCAGAGAGGGAGGGCACAATTCCCTCCCAGGCGACATCAAAATTACCAGAATCGGAAACAATTCAAAAAGAATTAGACCGTTTAAAACAAAAGGTAAATATATTTAAAGAATTTGTTAACAACACATTAATCCCTTACTTAACCAAAAAGGTTACCTCTTTCCAGGCAGGTCAAATTTCGAAATTCCGCAGGGAATGGGAAAAACTCACCACGGACCCTGACATTTTAGCAATGGTTGCAGGGGCTCAAATTTCATTTAATGGCATTTGCCCTGTTCAACACCAGTCTCCTCCAAATTCCCTTCCCCATGCTGAAGCAGACAAGATAAAGGATGCTATCCAGGAATTATTAGATAAACAAGTCATTGTCCCTTGTGACTCCGACTTAATTGAATTTGTTTCACCTATTTTCACCACTCCTAAAAAGGATGGCAATATCCGACTTATTTTAAATCTCAAGAAACTCAATGAGTCCGGTAGAGAACTACCATTTCAAAATGGATAATATTCACACAGCTCTTAAACTCATCACAAGAGATTGTTGGATGGCCTCACTAGACTTGAAAGATGCGTACTATAGTGTACCTATCCATCCTGATTCTCAAAAGTTTTTAAATTCACTGTTTTCCCGAATGGCCTCTCATCCTGCCCAAGAAACTTTACAAAACTCTTTAAACCAGTTTTAGCTACCCTACGTGTGAAAGGTCACATTATCATCATTTACATTGATGACTTATTCTTGGTTGGTCATTCATATGAACAGTGTGTAAATACTGTCATTGAGACATTAATTCTACTAGAAAAATTGGGGTTTGTCATTCACCCTTCGAAATCGGTGTTTATTCCTTGTCAAGAAATAACCTTTCTTGTTTTTTTGCTAAATTCTCATGAAATGACTATATCCGTCTTACCGAGGAAAAGATAGCCAAACTAACTGTTCTTATTACAAACATTCTGTCATCTGCAAATTGCAGATGACAGAATGTTTGTAATAAGCTGCAAATAGAGTTAAAATCAGAATGGTTGCCCAGGTCATTGGCCATATGGTAGCCAGTTTTCCAGCAGTTGAATTTGGCCCGTTATATTACCGTAGTCTTGAAAAAGATAAAAGCACAGCCTTATCGGCGCATAAGGGTAAATTTGAGGCCTCCATGACCATTTCCCACCAAGGGAAGGCCGAATTAAATTGGTGGTTAAAAAACCTAAAGAATTCTCGCAAAAACTTTCTTCTAACCCCAATTGACATGGTGCTATACTCAGACGCCTCTATGACCGGTTGGGGTGCAGCCCTGGGGGAACAATCCACAGGTGGAAACTGGTGCCAACAGGAGACTGAACTCCATATAAATGTACTTGAAATGAAAGCACCTTATTTTGCCCTAAAATCATTTGTCTCAAAACTAAGAGGCAAACATGTTAAACTTATGCTGGACAACAGTACTGCAGTGTTTGTAATTGTAATTACTAACATGGGCACTAGCCACAATGAGGTGCTGAATAGAATTGCCGTTGAAATTTGGGAATTTTGCATGACTAACAAATTTAAACTTACCGTAGCCCACTTACCTGGGTCAGATAACATCATTGCCGACAAAGAATCTCGCCATATTTATCGTGAAGCTGAATGGATGTTAAATCCATGTCACCTCCAAACAGCAATAAACAAACAGTTCCCCAAGTACTGCTCATATCGGCCTGACCCAGAAGCAATGCACATCGATTCTTTCTCTATTTCTTGGAGCACGCAAAATTTCTACTGTTTTCCCCCATTTAGCTGCATTTTGCAAACAGTTCAAAAGATTATACAGGAAAAAGCCACAGGCATCCTGGTAATTCCAAACTGGCCAACACAACCCTGGTACCCTCTCATTGCACCCCTTCTAATGCAACCAGTGCTCTCACAATCAAATTTTCGAATTCCTTAGAAAAAGCTCGAAAATTCCTCAGATTTCCTTAAAATTCCTTAAATTGGTAAAATTACCAGAAGGCCTGATCACACAGTTGCCAAAAGTGTTTTTTCCTCCTTTTTTCTGTTTTTCAGCTTTTATAACCTTATTTCTAAGCACTAAAAATTGAAAACATTTTATTGTTAGCGTAATGCTATAAAGAAAACATTCAACATGATGTATTTTTGATCGTTGCTGCATGAAGAGCTTAAAAAATCTGTAGATTTCAGAAGAAACAGCATATACTGACATTTAACTTTTGAGAATTTTAATGAAAAGACCAGTGGCGGACACTTTACGAATTATTGGGGCTCGTGCCGAAGGCACGGGAAAATTTTAAAATTTGAATCCCGGAAATGTCATTTGCAGCGTTCTGAGAACACATTTTGTAAAAAACTAGGGTTTCAAAACACTGTTTTAAGTTTTGTTATAAATCACGTGCCAAGCCATGTACAGAAACATATGCTATTATATTATGATGACAATTACGTTATATGAGTGTGACTTGTGTTATTTCGTACTGGAACCAAATTGGTACTGGAACATAAGAACATTTATGACATAGAGAACATACGAATATTTAACAATTATTCGCGGAAGGCGAGGTGATTATCGGTGAATAAAAACCGAGACGAAGTCGAGGTTTTTATTCACGATAATCACTGAGCCTGAGGTGAACAATTGTTTTAGTATAATTTCATAGGTGATTATTTGGAAAAAAAATAAGAAAATACACATTTCTTTGTCATTTAATTGACAAAAAGGCTTCGGCCGCCAATTTGAAAATCGCTTAGGTGATTATCGCGTAATAATAACCTCAACGGCAACCAATCAGCGTGGAGAATTTTCAATAATCACCTATGTAATTATACTAAATTGTAATTATGTGCGTATAATGTTGCTACTTTCAAGTTTAAATCTCATTTGCGTGGCGTGGTTATCCTCCGTCCCGAACGTTTTTAGTCCAGGATAAAATGTTTCGGAAATTCCTTAAAAAAATCCTCAAAAACCTAAATTCATTAAAAAAATCCTTAAAACTCTTCAAAATTCCTATTTTTAAGGATAATTCCTTAAAAGTGAGAGCACTGAGTATAAAATAGAAGTTAGCTGGCGCTTCGAACTATATAATATATATCGTAAAATCCCACTCCTGGTATTTGAAATTTAACGTTTTCTGTGGAAGCATGTAATTTGATACTTTGCCACTCCCCCTTGGGCAATCAATTTTTGTAGAGTCACGTGACCAGCCGATACCAGGGTCTTTCCCCAAAAGACCCTGGGTACGAGGATGTAGACAGGTTTTGTGTCAGGCCCTAACTTTATAAGTAGATGAATACTGAGAACAACATTGCCTAATATGGTCATCTATTAGTTTTAGCGTAATGATTGACGTTTGGATTAAAGTAAACAATATAGGTTTTTATGGGGCATGTGAAAACAGGGCGTATTATTGTGAGACTGCGAGAAATACGAAGAGATTTATATACGTTTTATACGCGTGTTTATTGTGATTCATTGTGATTGTGGAGAATATCTGTTCAGCGGAGGGAACATTCTCTACACGTGGCACCTTCCGATCGGATCGGGTAAGTTTTAACTCGATAAAATCAAATACAAACCGCTGTATTTTTAAGTCAAATGAGATGGAGTCTGAGGCGCTAGATACGAAGCTAACGCAGCTTGAAATTACGGTCCAGAGAACAGAGTTTGTGTTGACTTCTGCACGACGAGAACAAATCAAACGGCATCTAGAAGCATTGAAAGCGATTTCACGTGAAATTGACGAATGTAAACGAGCCGTAGAACTCAAGAAAATCGCAAATAAGGAAGAGTTATCCGAGATAAACAAATGGCATGACGAAATTGACGAGAAATTAAATAAAGCCGATATCGAAATAAGTCGTCTCCAAGGGTGGCTCAACGACAAGGAGAAACATGAGAAATTTTCTGCACAAGAAGAACAGCTGAAATTCGAACTAAAGCTACACGAAACAAAGTTGAAGTTACAAACAGAATTGACAACAAATTCATCGCCAGACACGTCCAATACGACTACAATCACAGTGTCTGAGAAAACCGCAAAGCTTCCAAAGTTGGTGATCTCAAAATTTAACGGATCTTATATGGATTGGCCCAGATTTTGGGGACAGTTTTCCGAAGCTGTAGACAAGAGTACCATAGCCCCTATCAGCAAGTTTACGTATTTGTGTGAATTACTTGAGCCCAGTGTGAAACGTGTAGTCGAAGCCCTTCCGTTCACTCCCGAGGGATATAACAGAGCAAAATCCATATTAAAAGACAGGTTCGGGAAAGAATCGGAAATCGAGAAAGCATACGTGAAGGAGATATTGGAACTGCCCCACATAACAAGTCCAAGTGCAAAGAAGATTGGCGAGTTTTATGAAAAATTATCTTATTCGGTGCAAGCACTGGAGACCATGAAAAGATTGGATCAAGTTTCTGGAAATGTCTCGATGACCCTCGACAAACTTCCGGCAATTAGAGGAGATTTGGTACACACAGATCCCGATTGGGAAACCTGGGATTTCCTCAAGCTAACTGAAGCGCTACGCCAATGGGTAAGAAGAAATCCAGCTGACAAGAACGCTGAACGAGAGCGCGAGGAAAACAAACGGAAACGGGACCACCACAATAGATTGTTCCAGGCAAGCGGCGGCGATTTCAAGGTTACGGGCTGTGTTTACTGCCGAGATGGAAACCATAAAAGGATTATGTTTTAACTGTGCTACGAGAAATCACCGCGCCGCGGAATGTCCAAGCAAGACTTCATGTCAATACTGTAAGAGACGCCATCACACCTCGTTGTGCGGACAAGCTCAAGATGGGAACGTGAAAAATGGGAAATTGATGACAGATGGTAAAAGTGGTGATGCAATATTTCCCATTGTGGTCGTAAAGGTTGATGGAATCACCTGTCGTGCGCTTGTCGACTCCGGGGCTGGCAGTTCATACGCGTCGGCGAAGCTCATCGATCTCCTGAAAAAGAAACCGAGTGCGACGAAGATTCAGCGTATCGACATGCTGATGAGCTCGCGAGTTACAAGAATTGAGTCATATGACGTGGTGATCGGGTCCGTGGATGACCGTTACGAAATGGAAGTACGTGTGACAAAAGTCAACAAGGGTGAACTGTTGAGGATTGATAACCCAAGATATGAACAGTTGATACGAAAGCATCAGCACCTGAAACAAGTCGAGATCGCAGACCATGATTCGAAACTGCAACTCCCGATTCACATGATATTGGGAAGTGGAGAATACGCTCGAATTAAAACCGGAACTGTACCACTTGTCGGTGAGGACGGTGACCCAATAGCTGAATTGACCAAACTTGGGTGGTTCGTGATGAGCCCGGGGGCTGATTTTTACAAAACCACTGTTCTGATGACACAAACCTCTCAGAGTGACTACGAGAATCTCTGTCGTCTGGACGTGCTAGGGATTGCAGACAGCGGAGAAAATGATCAAGAGATGGTCTATCAAGATTTCAAAGAGCAACTTGGAAGAAGCCCAGACGGATGGTATGAAGCGAACCTTCCTTGGAAGCCACATCATGCCGTGTCAGCGACGAACGAGCAAGGAAGTCAAAGGAGATTTGGACAACTTGTGAAGAAGTTGCGACGCGAAGGGAATTACGACAGCTACGACCAGATAATTCAAGACCAAATAAAAAGGAGTTTTATCTTCCACATAAAGCGGTTGTCAAGCGAGAAGCGGAATCGACAAAACTCCGGATAGTGTATGATGCCTCAGCGAAGGAGTCCAACCACCACCCATCACTCAACGATTGTCTCTACCCTGGTCCCCCCTTGCAAAACCTCCTCTGGAGTATCCTGGTCAGGTCGAGATTTTATCCCGTGCTACTCATTGGCGACTTGGAAAAGGCTTTTCTACAGGTCCGGATCAAAGAAGAAGAGAGGGATGCTCTGAGGTTCTTTTGGAGATCGCCCAGTCAAGATAAGACAGTGATATATCGGTTTACGAGAGCACTCTTCGGTCTTACCTGTTCTCCATTCCTACTAGGGGGAGTGATCAGCCATCATCTTAAGTCGTGGGAACTGGAGTATCCAGACGTAGTGAAAGAGATACGGGACGGCCTATACGTAGACGACCTGATGGTTGGAGGCTCCAACGTCGAGGAGGTCGCAGAGAAGAAAGCAACAACAACCGAGGTGTTTGAGGACGCAACTTTTGCCTTGCATAAGTGGCATTCAAATAGGGAAGAGCTCAAAAACGACAACGCTAAATCAACCAGTGACGTGGGACCAACATACGCAAAGCAACAACTAGGATCGAACTCATCCGAGGCCAAACTATTGGGCCTGCCGTGGGACAAGAACGAGGATACCCTGAGCGTTACGGCCGGTAAAGAGAAATCAGCTTCAACAAAGAGAGGTGTTCTCTCGGCTCTAGAAAAGATATACGACCCCTTGGGTATAGTGTTACCGACGACGCTTCAGGGAAAGATAATGTATCGAGAGATTTGCGAGTCCAACGTCGCCTGGGACGGGGAGTTCCCAAAGCCGTTAAAGAAACGTTGGGATAACTGGTCTGCTACTCTTCCTGAACATGTCACAATTCCGCGAACACTAGCTCCATACCTACAACCAATAAAGGAAGTCACGCTTCACGCCTTTGGTGATGCCAATAAAGATGGTGTATCAGCGACGGTCTACGCCGTGGTCGAGCAAGAGCAAGGGACGACACAATGACTTGTGTGCGCAAGATCCCGTCTCGCGAAACGGAACCTGTCAATCCCGCGACTGGAGTTGGTCTCGGGCCACATGGCAGTAAAGCTCGCGACCAATGTCAGAACGGCACTTACTATTCATCCACCACCAATCATTCACTGCTGGTTAGATCTAAGCGTGGCGTTGTATTGGATCAAAGGCCAGGGAGAATTCCGACAGTTCGTGTCTAACCGAGTACACAAGATCCAGCAACATCGCGATGTTAAGTGGCACTACGTGCCAACGACCGAAAACCCGGCGGACCTAGGGAGTCGCGGAGGAAGCGTTGTGAGCCATACGTTGTGGAGCAAGGGCCCCCTCTGGTTAAGCGAAGCAGCAAAGTGGCCATCCGATATCGTTCTGAAAGCTTCCCCAGAAACTGAGAAAGAAACGAGAGTGACCATCAGAAGTGTTCTCGCCATGGCAGTTCGTGTTCGAGACGATTTTGACAAGTTATTGGAGTCTCACGGGCTGCGCAAAGTACACAGAATCGGAGCATGGGTACGGAGATTTATTCAAAATTGCCGATAGTTACGTAAGAACCGAAAGTTTGGACCACTGGACACCACGGAAATCGAGAAAAAAATATAAAAAAGATCTGGTGAAAAAAAATCTGATGTGATATGATGATGATATATATGATGTGATGATGATGTGATATATATATATATATGATGATGATATATATGATGTGATGATGATGTGGCAAAAGATCTGGTGAATCAAGCGAACTCAGCAAGATGCTCAGAACAGTGCTCACTTCGAGAAGACAAGCTACAACTTAACCTGCAACCTAACCATCAACACATCTTCGAATGCAGAGGGAGAATCGAAGGGGAGTACCCAGTTTACCTGCCAGACGACCATCCGTACACCGAGAAAGTGGTAGAGCAAGCCCATCCTTTGTCATTACACGGCGGGGTAGCTATACATACATACATACATACATACATCAACTTTATTTAAACACGGCAATATGGCAAAGGTTCGTGAAACGTACTGGATACCCAGACTACGCCAGATAACCAAACGAGTACGAGGCCGTTGTTGGGGATGCAAGAAATTCAGAGTTAAAGCATATCAGTCCCCACCCCCTGGCACCCTTCCATCTACAAGAACCAAAGGATCGACACCGTTCGAAGTTCTAGGTGTAGACTTTGCCTGTCAAATCCGATATCATACGAAAGGGAGGAGCGGCAGCAGCAGCTCTTCTACGTATCCAACAAGTGGCGGCGAACGAGCAGGAAAACAACTGAATTCAAGGAAAGAACAATGATTAACTTTGCGGTTATGCAGCAGGCATGTATATCTCTCCGAGAACATACATGGGGGAGTGTGTTATGAAGGTTGACACTTTAGTACATTAATTTCGCTATATTTGGGATTAGTTGATTAATAAGTTTATAAGTAGAAGAATACTAAGAACAACATTGCCTAATATGGTCATCTATTAGTTTTAGCCTAATGATTGACATTTGGATTAAAGTAAACAATATAGGTTTTTATGGGGCATGTGAAAACAGGGCGTATTATTGTGAGACTGCGAGAAATACGAAGAGTTTTATATACGTTTCATACGCGTGTTTATTGTGATTCATTGTGATTGTGGAGAACATCTGTTCAGCGGAGGGAACATTCTCTACAAACTGAGCTACTCGGTCAGGTCAGTTCGAGTATGTGATATTTCGGAACAGAATCTAGTTCCTTCGATATCAGTGTAATCTAGTAATCATGATTTTTTCTGTGTTGGTGTAATGTACTCAGGTGAATATGCATGATGTTCCGAAATATCACATACTCGAACCGTCCTGACCGACTACGTATGTCTGACAGTCATCGATATTGTTTGCATAGAATTTATGCAAATCTTTTAAATAGTTTATTATTTTGATTATTTTACACTTGTTACTGATGGTGAAATCGACAACTTTCATTGTATTTTTTAGGTGTTAAATGTGTCAATCATCATCGTTGATTATTGCAAAATGCAAAGTGGGCGGAAGACGCTTTTGACAACATTTTCATCAGACCAAGCAAGCTGCTCCATTTACTGTTCCAGAACATTTGGAACACTGTTCTGGAACGATATAAAATATAATGGACAGGGCCGTAGCTAGCATGTATAGTTGGGGGGGTGTAGGCCAAAAATTTCCGAATGACGAAGAAAATTTCCGAATATTTCATGGCCGTAGGAAGCTCTTTTTTATTGGGGGCTGGGAACGAGGGCCGAAGGCCCGAGGAAATTTTTAAATTTAGATTCTCTGAAATGCCATTTCCTGGACTTTGGGGAAGTTTTGACAGAATTCTGATGGTCAGAAAACGGAGTTTTAGTATGATATTTGTGACGTTACTCTGAGTATGCATCCACAGCAGGCAAGCTGAAAAGTTTGCTTGGCCACGGTGGGAGTCGAACCCGCGACATTTGAGATACTGGTCCAATGTTCTGACAACTGAGCTACGAGGTCAAGTCGGTTCGAGTTGTTAATAGAGTTTTAGTATGTCGAAATTTACAATTTGCTTACAATTTAGTAGAACTAAATGAGCGAAGGCGTATTTAATAATTAACTATATATTGCAGGAAAGAGTATAGGTAATATGATTCTTTGCCGTTTTTCATGGATAATGTAGCCGCTTAAAATTAATCAATAGACCTTTCCCCTTATGAGTGAAATTTTGATCTAGACAAGCCTAACCAAACATTTCTTCACAGCTTGAAAGAGCATCACAAAATTAGTAATATTCCGAAGTTTCGTTGCGAAATGTTGTAAAATGCGGATAATATAGCCTTGCGAAGTTTGCCGTTTTTCAGTCATTGTATTACAAATGGGAAATTGATAATCAGTTTGATCATCTGATTATCAATTTCCCGTTTGTAATACAAAATGACTGAAAAACGGCAAACTTCGCAAGGCTATATTATCCGCATTTTACAACATTCAACGAAACTTCGGAATATTACTAATTTTGTGATGCTCTTTCAAGCTGCGGTGAAATTTTTGTCCAGGCTTGTCTAGATCAAAATTTCACTCAAATGGGGAAATTAAGGTCTATTGTAGAGGTGTGCAAATCCGATCCGAATCCGATCGGATTCGTTCGGATTTCGGAACCAAAATTTAAATTTCGGATCGGATTGATAAAGTTGTTTCGTAGTTGGATCGGACTTCGATATCCGAAATTGAAATGAATTAATTATCCATGCATTATCGCAAGAATTAATTATCCATACATTTATCAAAGTATCATCGCGGTTTTCGCTGCATTATTCGTTTGATACTTCAATTGGACGTCAATTTGTCAGCTTCTTGACATGTATTTCTTGCTTTTATATTTATTTGGTTAAATATTTCAACTTGAATGAGAAATTTATTTTATTAAAGAATTCTTCGGATCGGATCGGATTGGAATTCTTTTTCAAAACTCGGATCGGATTCGGATTAGACAATTTCGGATCGGATTTTAAACATTAGGCAATTGTCGGATTATAAACGTCCAATCCGATCCGATGCACACCTCTAGTCTATTGTCAGTATTTTAAAGGTATATTATTTAAATGATAAAGGTGTGCATGATTTGAAAAAAGAATGATTATCAGCAAATTATTGTAAGGGCTGCTCCCCAGTCCCCCCCCTCCCCCCGACTGCTACGGCCTTGAGAAGTAATAAACCGAAAAACATTTACCGATATACGATTTGTTTTACGTAATCCATGTAAATGCTGTGATTTGGTAAATCAGTTTATACCAATGGTTATTAAAAGTATTTCAGGGCACATAACGATGCTCTCAAGAAATGAGGAGAATTCTTCAAAAAACATATTCGAAGTGACAGCATCACTCTGGGAATATGGTGGACGGTAAACCGCAATAATTTTAATAGCTTTATTGGACACTTTACAGTTCCATTCTGAATATTCGAATGAATATTTTTTATCCCCATTAATAAACTTGATTTTAATATACATATATATATATATATATATATATATATATATATATATATATATATATATATATATATATATATATATATATATATATATATATATATATATATATATATATATATATATATATATAGACCAATTGCGAAACTTAGTGGCCGCGCCTTCATACTGCACGATAACGAGGCTTATTATGCAAAAACAAAACAATTTCTATATTTTTATATAGCGAAAAGTGAATTTTAGGGTTTTTAAAGTGTTTTTTATTGAATCTCTTTGATCTTTTCTTAATATTTCTGCTAGGTTATATAAATATTTGTTAAATTTATCTAAACATCGATTTCCCACAATATTTTTACCCGCTATGGAGAGATATTTCGTTGTTGTTTTAGCATGCGATGGAACAAACATATCGAAAAGATCAATCTAGACTTTAAAATCTGATCAAGATGCAAAAAAAATAGCCAGAATAACTTAACAAACTAAAGTATAACTCTTTCTACCCAGAGTTTTTTAGACTTCGTGCGAGAAAAAGATTTTGTCAAAAAATAATAACATATTAAATTCATAAAATTTCTATAAAATTTTGCCCGACATTTACTTTCATATTTTTAAAGTTAAAATCGAAAACTTGCTATTATATTACAACTGAAACAAAATTAATCAATGTTAGAACTTATTCTTTGAAATGTATTAATAAAATAGACGGAAAATACCTGATTCTTTGCCTGGCATAATCTGCTTCTTTTATCGGACAGCGAAAAACAGCAAAACATTGCCTCGCACGCCGCGAAAAACAATGAAATTTGAAGTAAGACTAAATCTATGAACAAGTTTAGTAAAGAATTACATAGTCAAAACAGAAATATAGAAAAAAATGAAGCGATTACCATAAAAACACGTCTCAAACACTGAAATTCATTTTTCGCCGTATAAAAATATAGCAAAATGATTTGTTTTTGCATAATAAGCCTCGTTTTCGTGCAGTATGAAGGCGCGGTCACTAAGTTTCGCAATTGGTCTATAGTCCCTAAATGTTAGATCAAAAATGTGGTGTGAAATATGATAGTGTGATGGCCTCGTGTTGTTTGCACAATGTATACTTGCGAAAAAATGTTGTATATGATAAACCTTAGAATAAAAAATAAAAAACCACTTGTATATGTATAAATGTGAACCTAAGAAATATAAGTGTAGGTGTAGATTTTTTGAACATAAAATTGGAGATGCGTGTCTGAACGGTAAAATATCCTGTGGTGTAAAAAAATTTGATCAGACTCGAGGAATATGATCTCGCTGTACTAAAAAGCTTGTATGGAGGTATATGTAAAATATATAAAGCGAGAGGAGATAGTCATTTGTGTAAAATTCAGTATCCCTGTACGCGGCGTTTCGTCCTCCAGCAGGGATTGGGGTTGGCACATGTATAAGAAGGATAGAATATAGAAACCGATTTGGATTACAGAGTGAATAAACATAAAAATTGTAAAATGTGTGTATGATTATTGTGAAATAAATATAAAGTAGGCTATAAAGTGTCTTACCAAATTCGCTGATATTTTTTGTCAAACGAACACGTTGGGCCATGATTGTAATCACGAAGGGATGTGGTATAACTATAGCGTTTAGGGACCGCTCATTATTTACTGCCAGGAGGGATTGAGGAGAAACTGGGAGGCCTTCAAATTTTTTAAAACCTGAAAGGGGGGCTTTGAAACATACAGAGAGACGAAAGAAGGGGGGGCTTTGAAAAGATTTACCAGTTTGAAAAAAACAGTAGTAAGTTTTAAAAATGTATCACAAAACAACTTAAAGTGGCACTGTCATCAAAATTTTTATTTTCTTAAACGAAAATGCTCTTAAAACTGTATAGTAACTTGTTTTGAAGATTTTTGTTCCCATGCTTAGTTCTTGAGTTATTTAATTTTGTTTGTAACCATGTGACGTCGTTTACTTAATTTCATATATAATAAGATATCAGTAATTTTTGTGTATCTTTGCTATTTTTTTATCAAAATCTTTCGAAAGACGCGGCGCGTTTGTTAATTTAACCTACATCATTAAGCATACTGTTTTTTAAACAAATTCATCAAAAATAGCAAAGATACACAAGAATTACTGATATCTCATTATATATGTAATTGAGTAAATGATGTCACATGGTTACAAGCAAAATGAAATATCTCAAGAACTAAGCATGGGAACAAAAATCTTCAAGACAAGTTACTCTACAGTTTTAAGAGCATTTTCGTTTAAGAGAATAAAAATCTTGACGACAGTGCCACTTTAACAACAAATAACAATGTTTATAGACCTTTAATATTCATAAATGGAAGC